ACTCTTCCAATACGGACCTTAGTAATCATAGATAGACTTAGAAGGTTTTGAAGCATTCTAGAATCTTCATGACCATACAAATGACTCGAATATTTGAAAAAAAAACTCGGACTCGTATTTTTTGCACAGGTAAAAGATTATACAATCTTTATCAGGGATAATGTTTTGATTTTCCATAAGTTAGATATGGCTAACAAAAAAAAACATGATTAAATTACTTTCGAACGTTCATATATATATATAGTCAATTTGGGTCTTCCTGAGTATATCGAGATGCAGAAAAGATATGTTAAGATAGTATGAAGAAATAACGGGTGACCCATAATAAATGGCAGAACATTGCGTTTCCTATTTTAACCAATACATAGGTTGTATTAAAAAAACAAAATATACCACAAGATGCAGCGCGAAAAGCTCCACAATCCACATAGGAAAGCTTGTTTTATAGTTGCACTTTTTGTTTTCAAAATAGACAAAACTTAGAGCGATCAAATTTTAACCTTGCGAAGATAATATTTTTCTTTGGTATAAGATGAATTTATTTTATTCTTGTTTCATCTTTCCATCATTGGATACCTTTCATTTAAAAGAAAACAAAATATAGCAAAACACGCAGCTTGAAAAGCTCTACAATTTAAGTAACACTGCTTTTCTTACAGTTGCATCTTTTGTTTTCGAAGTAGTCAAAATTTTGAGTGACCAGATTTCGACGCTGCGAGGGTGTGAGTGTGGGTGTGACATCTCTATCGGCATCTACACCTACATCCGACACTTCCACCCACCCACATCCTGTGCCCACACCCTTCTTGTATATCTCTTCGTCGCCTTGCCCAGTCCAGGCGTCCGAGAGGAGAAGACACTTTTTGGAAGCATTCGGGACTAAAACCTTATCTCTCGAGTAATGAACGAGCGACCTGTTCAATTTACCAGACTTGCTACATGTGATGACAACATTTCTAGATCGAAACATTTTTTCATGAACATTTAATAGAGTGTCAGTTAGAAAAGTAAAAACAAATATAAGCGAACTCACTTTCGCTTAGCTGCCCCGTGGGCTCCTTGAGACACAAATAACTAGGTCCTACTGTTCCGCCGGCTAGATTAATCATCGGTTGCAGAGAGTAAGAGTGGGTAATTGTATTTTGAGACTTCATAGCGGTCACTGTCAATTTTTCGCCCTGATCGCTCAATGTGCGAGTGGAGTGGAATTTCTTTTTCAGCCCAACTTGATCAGTATTCATAATTTCTTCGGGACTGTAGTGTTGCATTTCGGTTTTGACTTGTTCGACAAATTGAATAACTAACTGTTCAAGTTCATTGGCATTATCAAGGGTATGTTTTGTGACAAATTTAGTAATTTTCCGAGAGACAATACCGTGGCGATGTTTGAAGACAGTGATCCAATGTTTGGAGGCCGAAAATCCATGAAGTAACTTTTCTTGTGTTCTTTGTAGAGCCCAACGTTTGAGATCGAGATCGTGTACAGGAAGATAACTTTCACGAGCTGCTTCGAATCTCTCGTATACGAATGTTTCGATATCGTCTATTTTTTGCTTCTTTGTATCATGACTTTCCACATACTTTCGAAAGCACTCCAGATATCGCCTATGAGAGACCCGTCTGAGTTGATGCTGAACACTTTTCCACATATGTGGGTGGGTGTGAGTGTGGGCTTTGACTAAGAGAAAAACTACACCATCCCCCACACCCACCCCACCCCTATCTTATAAATTCATAAGATTATCACAGTAATCGTACTAATTACTTAATTGTTCGATTGTCAAAATCTTCTGAGGTGTTTATTTTTAATAAATACTTGAGAAGCTTCAAATCTTCACTATAAAATTAGGTATTTTCCAAAGATCCAAAATCTGAAACTATTATAAACTCTTCTTATTTGCAATTTCTTATTAACTTTTTCCTTACAACAACGGAGCTTACTATTATTAATATTTTCAAAATCTATTTAGCAAAATCAACAAGCAGTTTTCAAATCATCTTGAATCTTTTGCAAATGATCCTATAGTTCCTTGTGGCGCTAATCTTGGCCCTGATCAGCCTCATAACTATCCTGATAATTATGATATTGACGAACATTGTCCGGTGATTGATGTGGAAACAAAAACTACTCGAATTGAGTAAGAATTCATTTATTTTTCATATTCTTATCTCAAATATGTGAGTTTAAGAAGCGATATATACACCGCTGTACGAAAGTTTAGGACTTTTTATTTTTCTTCTTTTTTTCAAACAATAAGCGATAGAAATTTGATTTAAGAAGGGATATAGATAGTGTGAAAGACGGACTATTAAATGCGCTATGGGACGTGGCTAGACCTTCTAACTGCGGTTTTTAAAAATTAAAAAAAGATTTTTAGGTGAAAAACGTTTTTTTGTTCGAGTTTTTGCGGTCGGATTCAATAAAACGGACTTTAGGTGGTCAAAATAGAGTGCAAAGTCCAAAATCTTTTTAGCAGTGGATAGCTCGTGAAATTCTCTATCGAAGCATCAAGGTTTCAATTTTTTTAGCAAAAACTTTTCGGTTAAAAACAGCAAAATACTAAAAGACAAAAAAAAACGTTTTTCACCTAAAAATCTTTTTTTCATTTTTTAAAACCGCAATTAGAAGATCTAGCCACGTCCCATAGCGCATTTAATAGTCCGTCTTTCATACTATCTATATCACTTCTTAAATCAAATTTCTATCGCTTATTGTTCGAAAAAAAGAAGAAAAATAAAAAGTCCTAAACTTTTGTCCAGCGGTGTATGTCAAGCGCCGCGTACTATATTTAAACAGCATTTAAAGCATAAGTCACCTTTTGTAACTATTAACGTTGAAGTAGTTGAACCATTCATGGTGGAACTGCTTGATCCATTATACATTGGTCAACATGAGTAAGTTTATTTAGTTTCTATTCACAAATCTCTCAAAACTTCTTTACATGTAGGTACAATCTTTCCGGTGGCTTCACTAACACTGAAAGTCACTTCACCGCAGTTATCAAAACTAATGACGGCACCTATGTTTGCTTCAATGATGTACATTCACAACGATGTTTCCCACACGATGGACTACTACTTGTCATCTTTGCTATTTATACTTTACGGATATAAGACATTTCAACAGCAGCTCTAATGCCAATTCGATTTCATGTACCTGCATAACTCGATAATTGTTCGATCCGCATATCAACTTCTCTTCTTGCTCACATTTCATACTGCTCATTGTCACTAATTGCATGTCTCTTCTATTTAAACTTTTTCAGAAAACTTTACAAGTGCTTGTATTTTCTTCTTCTCACTTGCTCACTTCATCATGTTACTCATTATCGAAATGACTGCTCTATATCAAAATAACTTTTTATCGTGCTGCTACACTGATATTTAGTCTATAATATAATTCTTTTTTTCACAACTGCACTAAAGCTTTTCAATCTGTTTCGCTGAAAACAAAATCAATAAATGTCTTCCACAATCATTTTACATTATCACCTTACTCTAAAACCTTGAGAAAAATTAAACTATTCACTAGTACGAAATATATCACTGAGCTCGCCGCCCTTACGATAACCATGTGCAGGTATATCCTGTCAATACTCCCACATAATAAAATAGTACTGAAAATTAAATCAACTGTCAGCAATTCCACGTGTCTCCCCTCAAATTTTTGAGAACCACAGAAGTTCAACCAGAGAACTGCGTTCTGCAGGCGTAAAATTTTCTCAAGAACACTACATCCACTGTATCAATCCTTAGAAAATAGAAAAAAGTTCTTGAACTCATGATTGTTCAGAGGACGACTACCCAAAATACTATCTTTGACAGCACTAATGAAAACCGAGATAATGCTACTACGCAGTCGATTCCAAATTTCAATAACATTTATTCCGCAAACCATGAAAATCTGCAGATCCATATTATGTACATAAGTCGAAAACACTCCACTGAAAACGTTCAACTCAAATTCTACCTTGAAAAATGGCCGCAGATAGTAAATTAAGCCCAAAACGAGCGCTTTTTTCCAAACGACATAGATTCAAAATAATACTCATCGATATAGCATCAGAGTCTCCGTCTAACACAATCCCTTAGCAACTTAATACTAGTCCAGAGACAAATCTGGACTAAATTTAGCCTCGAAAACCTGTATTTGAGTTTGTATTTGGGATGAAACACCAAGCTTATGACTGATGTGCCCTCTTGAATATGGTACCAATCGATACAAAATCGAATCCTGCATCTAACACAACCGTTTAGAAAGTTAACGCAAGCTGAGGAGCGAATCGGAGCTAGACTGACTCTCGAAAATCTGTATTTCAGCCTTATTTGGGACGAAACCCCTAGTTTTTGCCCGATGATCCCTCTTGAAAATGGCGCCAATTGATACAGAATCGAATTCTGCATCTAACACAACCGGTTAGAAAGTTAATACAAGCTCAAGAGCGAATCCGGACTGGAAATACAGTTTTTTCACTTTTGATCTACAGGGAAAACTCAGTATTTTGAGAGAAACCATATGTTTTGCCCGATGACCCCTATCCAAAATAGCACCGGTCGACAGAGAATAAAATTCTACACCTAACACAAGTGGTTAGAAAATCAACAGAAGTTCAGGAACGAATTCAGGCTGGAAATACTCGGATCCGGTGCGAACTTTGCTTACGTTACCCTTTGAAAAGTTATCGTGTAAACGGCCGGACGGACACACTGACCGCTTCTATGGTGTACTCACTTTTTCAGTACACAAACACGCTTTTTTCTTCTGTGGAATGTTTAGAAAAACCTATGTAATATCCTTAAATATCATCATAAGATCAATCAACTATAGTGCATTCGAAAGTAGACACTTAGCTCCATCTAACTAGATAGAAACCATAAAATCGATAGATTTGACCACAATTGGCATTTTTAAGAGGAGACCTTAACAAAGCAAAACGAGAACTTAGAAAGAAATAAGACCCATTAAAGAAAACCTACGCGGGGATCCCGTCCATGCGGTAATCACGGTTTGGCCTTGTATTTTGCCCATGGCGAGGCCTTCCACTATCGATAAACCTTCAAAAAGGGTTCGTCCGATTATATTTTTTTACTCTAATTACGGTCATTTTAATGAAGTCTTAGCGAAATACAGAGCATTATGAGAAAAATCTCAACCAGGAGTTTCTACCTAAAAATTTTCTCAACAATACACCTAATCACTCCTATTACATATTTATTTTCTTGAATTTCATTAACGAAAACTTGATGAAAACAATGCCAGAGGTCAGATGAATGAGCACTTTCTTTTGAAAATATTTAACAGAACTATCTCGTTTCTTTACGAGCTCTTCTACTTCTTTTAATGTTAACAACCTGAAACTCATCTTTTCGCTTTACATACAAACGCAGAAAAAAGAGATAATAGCATACTATTTTCTTTTCTCGATTTATTCTCTTAGACTGAATACCAATTAAGCCCTGTATATATTTCTTTGCCCACATAATACCCTGTATATTAGATGTCACTTGTTTCCCAGAAAAAAAACTCGAGCTTTTCGGTGTCGAGGTCGGGATCAGAATCAGGGAGAAATAAACGATATTTCCTGATAGAAACATCGTGTGTCAGTCATTATTCTGTCCGAGTAAAGAAGAGCAATATCATAAAACATCGTCGAATAATATTCATTTTCCAGTACATCTTTCACTTTCCGAGTGTCCCATCGCTTGACCTTCGAGCTCTTCCTTCTGATTCCTGAAAACTTCTAACATGTTCTCCATCAATCCATCACTGCATAACGGTAACTTCAAACGCTCACTACCATTGTAAATACTAATCGTACCTCCAACAGCAGTTACAGCTATAGCTTGCACTAGTGAACAGTAAGCAATCAACGGCAGCCATGCACTATTTTTCGTTTCCAAGTATACCTTAAACAGATGATCCGAGGGCATTACTGTTAATTTTATATACTGGCATTCTTTGATACATGAGTGAAGCTTTTCGATCATCCGTGACTCCAGACTGCGTAGTCCCTCATATGAACACATAGCGAACTCAACAAGCCTCGAAAATTCATACTCTGCTAAAACAAGACTATCAGTAGATGCATTCAATAGAGCAGCGACCACCTCATTTCTCCCTGCTTTTCCACCCATCATTCCCAATGCTTGAGACACACACCATTGAACAAATTCATCTTCATCGCGCATCGCATTCACTAGAGCAGCGATCATCTGATTTGTCGCTGCTTTTCCACCCATCTTTCCCAATGCTTCAAACGCACTGCTTCCATCATTTGCATCTTCATCGCACATCACATTTAGTAGAGCAACGATCACCTCATTTGTCGTTGCTTTTTCACCCATGCTTTTCAACGCTCCAGATGCCTTGCGTCGAACATTTGCATCTTCATCGCTCATTGCATTCAGTAGAGCAGCGATCACCTCATTTTTCGCTGCTCTTTCATCCATCTTTCCTAATGCCTCAAACGCTTTCGATCGAACATTTGCATCTTCAAACCGCATCGTATTCACTAGAGCAGCGATCACCTCATTTGTCGCTGCTTTTTCACCCATCTTTCCCAATGCCTTAAACGCTTTCGATCGAACATATTCATCTTCATCACGTACTGCATTTACTAGAGCAGCAATCAATTCATTTGTCGCTGCTTTTTCACCCATCTTTCCCAATGCTTCAAACGCTTTAGATCGAACATAATCATCTTCATCGCGTACCGCATTCGTTAGAGCAGCGATCACCTCATTTGTCGCTGCTTTTTCACCAATCTTTCCCAATGCTTCACACGCTTCCGATCGAACAATTGGGTCTTCATAGCACACCGCATTCACTAGAGCAGCGACCACCTCATTTGTCGCTGCTTTTTCACCCATCTTTCCCAATGTTTCAAACGCACTGCTTCGAACATTTGCATCTTCATTGCACACCGCATTCACTAGAGCAACGATCACCTCATTAGTCGCTGCTTTTTCACCCATCATTCCCAATGCTCGAGACGCACACCATTGAACAAATTCATCTTCATCGCTCATCGCATTCACTAGAGCAGCAATCACCTCATTTGTCGCTGCTTTTTCACCCATCTTTCCCAATGTTTCAGACGCACTGCTTCGAACATTTGGATCTTCATTGCACACCGCATTCAATAGAGCAACGATCACCTCATTAGTCACTGCTTTTTCAAAAATCTTTCCCAATGCTTCAGATGCCTTCCATCGAACATTTGCGTTTTCATCGCGCTCCGCATTCAGTAGAGCAACGATGATCCCATTTGTCACTGCTTTTTCACCTATCTCTCCCAATGTTTCAAACGCACTGCTTCGAACATTTGCATCTTCATCACGCACCGCATTCAGTAGAGCAGCAATCACCTCATTCGTCGCTGCTTTTTCACCCATATTTCGCAATGCTTTAGACGCACTGCTTCGAACATTTGCATCTTCATCGCGTACCGCATTCAATAGAGCAATGATCACCTCATTTTTCGCTGCTTTTTCACCCATATTTACCAATGTTATAGACGCTTTCCATCTTACATCCACATCCTCATCGCACATCGCGTTCAATAGAGCAGCGATCGCCTCATTTGTCATTGCTTTTTCACCCATGTTTTTCAATGCAAAAGACACACTCGATCGAACATATGCATCTTCATCGCGTACCGCATTCAGTAGAGCAGCGACCACCTCATTTGTCGCTGCCTTTTCACCAATCTTTCCCAATGCCTCAAACGCTTCCGATCGAACATTTGCATCTTCATCGCGTACCGCATTCAGTAGAGCAGCGATCACCTCATTTGTCGCTGCTTTTTCACCCATCTTTCCCAATGCTATAGACGCACTGCTTCGAACATTTGCATCTTCATCGCGTACCGCATTCAGTAGAGCAGCGACCACCTCATTTGTGGCTGTTTTTTCACCCATCTTTCCCAATGCTTTAGACGCACTGTGTCGAACATTTGCATCTTCATCGCGTACCGCATTCAGTAGAGCAGCTATCACCTCATTTGTCGCTACTTTTTCACCCATATTTCCCAGTGCTTCAGACGCACTGTGTCGAACATTTGCATCTTCATCGAGCACCGCATTCACTAGAGCAGCGATCACCTCATTTGTGGCTACTTTTTCACCCATCTTTCCCAATGTTTGAAACGCACTGCTGCGCACATCCGCATGTTCATCGCGCACCGCATTCACTAGAGCAGCAATCACCTCATTTGTCGCCGCTTTTTTACCCATGTTTTCCAATGCAAAAGACGCACTCCTTCGAACAGTTGCATATTCATTGCGCATCGCATTCAGTAGAGCAGCGATCACTTCATTTGTCGCGGCTTTGTCACCCATCTTTCCCAATGCTTCAGACGCACTGTGTCGAACATTTGCATCTTCATCGCGCACCGCATTCACTAGAGCAGCGATCACCTCATTTGTCGCTGCTTTTTCACCCATATTTCCCAGTGCTTCAGACGCACTGTGTCGAACATTTGCGTCTTCATCGAGTACCGCATTCAATAGAGTAGCGATCACCTCATTTGTCGCTGCTTCTTCAAGAATCTCTTCGAATGGTTGAGACGCACGGCATCCAAGTATTGCATCTTCATCGCTCATCTCATTCAGTACAGCAGCGATTTTCTCATTTGTTGCTGCTTTTTTAGCCAGCTCTTGTAGTTCTTGAAACGCACTACTTCGAACATTTGCATGCTCATCGCGGATCGCATTCAGTAGAGCAGCGATTATCTCATTTGTCGGTGCTTTTTCAAAAATCTTTCGCAATGCTAGAGACGCCTCCCATGAATAGCGTTTCGCATTCAGTAGAGCAACGATCACATCATTTGTTGCTGCTTTTTCGCCCATGTTTGCCAATGCCTCAATCACGTTCGAATGATTGTTTTTATCTTTATTGCGCATCGAATCCAGTAGAGCAGGGAGCACCTCATTCGTTGCTGCTTTTTCACAAATCGTTTTTAATGCGTCAGACGCGTTCCAGCGAACATATAGATTGTTATCGCACATCAAGTTCAGTAGAGCAGTGATCACCTCATTTGTCGCTGCTTTTTCACCCATCTTCCCTAGTGCTCCAGACGCACTGCTTCCAACAATTGGGTCTTCATAGCACACCGCATTCAGTAGAACAATGATGACATCATTTGTCGCTGCTTTTTCAGGCATGTTTCCCAATGCTTCAAACGCACTGCGTCGAACATTTGCATCTTGATTGTGCGTCGCATCTAGTAGAGCAGGGAGCACCTCATTGGTTGCTGCTTTTTCACAAATCTTTTTCAATGCTTTAGACGCATCCCATCGAACAAATTGAACTTCATCGCGCATCGCATGCACTAGAGCATCGATCACCTCATTTGTTGCTGCTTTTTCACCCATCTTTGCCAATGCGTCAATCGCACTGTTTCGATTATATTTATCTTCATCATGCATCGAAGCACAAAGAGCTGATAAATATCTCGGGGTTGGATAGAATATTTCTAACTTTTGTATGATTTGAAATATTCGAGTTTTGATGGAGTTTTCTTTGGAGCCTAAGAGTTGTATGAATGTGTCTTGGATGAATTCGGTATCTAATAAGCTAATGGCGCGCTGAAGTGATTGTTGCAGATGATGTGTAATATCTTCTGGTCTTTGAGTGACACAGATAAGTATCCAGTGGGAGATTGATTTAAGGTAAGCTGTACGCTCGGGAAATATTGTCTGATGTATGAGCTGATCAATGCACTCAATGAGGAGTTTTATATGCTGCAATCCGACTAGATCTGATGGTTCACCTTGTATCGTTGTCCAGAATGCGCTCCGCACTGACTGGAAAGTTGATTGTGCTAGAAGACCTGAGGCAAAGATGAACACGAGACGCAAGCGTTGGTCGTACTTATGGTCGTTGATAAAGTGCATTGCGTTTTGATTATTCGAATTCTTGAGAAGTTTTAGTAAGTGGCGCGCGGCAAAGTGTTCTTGGAAGCTGAGATGAACAAAATAGTGTTGTTTCTTCGTTTCATTGCTCTCACCAGTAAGCTTATCATCGTATGACTTTAGAATACCGAAATCCAATATTTTTTGAAGGCGATGCAAGGAGCACTCTCGTTGTGTCTCCTCAAGCAATTCTGGAGGTAACATTATTTGGTTGCGTTCAATCGCTTTGAAAGCCAAATGTTCTAAAAATTGAATCTGCGTTTTGCATCGCTCAAAAACATCTTGCTTTGTCATATCTTCATGATCTATATTCTGTTTTGTCAAATCTCGTCGACATAACCATTCTATTATGTTATCATATAATACCGTGACGGTCAAAATTGTCGTTTGTGTCCAATCCGTATTAATCCATGCGGTGCATATTAATTCAAGATTTACGGGAATATGTGCAACATTCCAAATACCAGGATTTAACTCTAGAAATCGCTGAATCTTCTGGGTTTCCGCTGGAGCACTGGTGATTTCATCTTCGAACTGATCGAAGAACTGATCGACATATTTGAGAATATTGTCATCTGTGAATCCAATTATTTCCATTTTGACGTCGTACGGGAATGAAATAGCATAAGGACGAGACGTCAAGATATGATGATATGTCTCACGTACGTAGTTGAACAAATCTCTTAATTGAGCTGGGATATTTTGAGCGAATTCATCGTAGCCATCTAATATCCAAAGAACTTTTCCTTCTTTACATTGCTCGTTGAAGTATTGCTTTTCTTCTTCCGATATATCATCATAGGGTAAATATTCTTTCTTCACTATGTCACTTGGCAAATATTCTTTTCCTGGCGGATAACGACTGACTGTCAGTTTTCGTAAATGAATCAAAACAAGCAGCTCATATCCTGACCAAAGGTCACCTTTTGCCCACCGATAAGTAACATATTGACAAAATGTTGATTTTCCAATTCCAGCTCGTCCAAGTATGAGAACCTTTTTGGTCGTACCTTTGCATTTCTGGAAAATTTCTTCAATGTTGATGGAAGTTTCGGTTTCATAGATCTCCTCATAAGTGCCGAGAATCTCATGATATTTTTCTTCCAGCTTCTTCTCTTTTTGTTGTTGCTCTTCGGCTTCTATCATAGCTAAATTAATGTAACTCTGTTCAATCGGCAAGCTTTTTTCCTCATTTACCACACGTTTGATTCGATTTGCTTGTAGATATTTTTCTCGTATAGTTTCAAACAATTTGGTGGGTGATGTCATTGATTCGGTTGTGCAAGTTGGTGATTGATTTCTGATTTTGTCAATTAGTTCTTTCGCTCTCATACGTATGTTGACTTCGGAAGTATCAGAGAAGTCTATAGCTACTATAGAACCAGTAATCAAATGTAACCATTTCGATGGTGACGGTTTCCATACTTTTCGGTTGCTAACCATGCATGGAATGATTTGTTTGCGAAGTCTTTGTGCATGTTCCAATTCAAGTTTACAGTTCGCAGAGTTCTCGTATTCGGGTGTCATGAAACAGCAGACGACTGAAGCATTACTGACTGCCTCAGCCATGCTATATTTCAAAACATAGTACAAAAGAAAAGCCGTGCAAAAGGGTAATAGTTATGAAACGATCAATACCTGTCATACATGTTGTCATTAATGTCTCTCTCATCAAACCAAACAGGAATATTTTCGGCTATCAAACTGTTGTAAACTAAGTTGACAACAGTTTTACTCTTGTGATTATATGAAAGCATGACGTGCTTTCCATCGGTGAATGTCATTTTCGTGTTTGAGATAGCAACACAGGATTAATATTGATCTAATATCAATGAATTTCTAAAAAAAATATGCAGAAAATTATTTGGGTAAGCATTTCTTCTATCACGCAAAAAATTTGTCGATTTCTCCATTATGAGATACTCACGTTGTATATTTCCATATACATGAATTATTTTTTGGAAGACTTCCAGTCCTTCGTCACAAAACTCATGAATGGTGAAACTCATAGGAAAAAAGAATACTTACTAGTTGCGACAGTAGGTATTACACAATCAGACAAAATTTCGAAAAAAAGACGTATTTTCTAGTGTTTCTAAGGATGGTTAGGTATTGAATTGATTAAAATACTATTTCAATCAGCAAACAGTTAAAGTAGCATCAAGTTGAGACGTTTACGTGTTCAATTCCTACGAATTTACTAGTTGTCAATAGTGTTCAATTATTCTAGCTCATGGCAACTAATACTCCGTTAACTGGGATCGTTTCATCTCTGAATGTGTCCGATAATCAATCAATAATGACCATGTCTACTAAAGATTGAAGTATATCTATATTTGTAGATCACTATTTACACCCGTGTAAGAGACAGTAACAAAGTTATTTGGTTTGACCAATAATAGGCAATCAAAATATTGTCTGCATGAGATACAAGTTCTTTTTTGAGTCATCGGCTAGAAACGTGTTCCCTAATTTCCATACTACACATAAGTCTTCCGAAGGATACATTCTCGATTCTGCATATCAATTTCTCTTTCCCATACGAAAGAAAGAAATCAAATCTGAAGTTTTCTGTTTTCGACAAG